ACAAAGCCTTCCTGTGTGGGCGGGCGAGAGCAAATATTGACGAGGTCATTAATGCAAATTCACTGTGTGACATCACAGTGTGAGGATTTTCAAATCCTAGCGTTTCACCGTCTATTTTCTATCAGAAGCTAACACAGGAAATAGGTGTAGAAGACTGTTTTCAAGCCTGCATGAAAAACTCAGAGTGACAGATTACGATTAATAATAATCAATTAAAATTTGTTTTGGAGTGAACCACACACTTAAACTGACAGAGAACTTGATACTATTTCATTTAAAATGCAAACAAATGATTCAAAAGTTAAAATAAATTATGTTTTGTTTTTGCTTTACTTTTAAATCTTGAGAAAACTCAGATGACGGTTGGAAATTACAGAACAAAAAAAAGATGACCCCCCCCCCCCCCCTAAAAACACAAAATCAAATTTCAGAGAGAGCGAGAGAGAGAAAGAGAGGTTTTCACGATCACAGAATCAGTATTTTTTAAAGTAATTGAAGGTTTTTGGATTTTCTCAGAAAGGAATGAGCAAAAATCCTGAGACAGGAGAGGGAAGGGTTTTTGGAAATTCTTAATTCTACATGGACTAAAGTTTGGGACAGTGATTCATTAAAAAAGAAAGAAAGGATTTAAAGAAAAACTGCACCGTCTTTTGTCAGACAATACACGTATTTTGGATGTAATTTAAAACATTATTTCTGGTTGCGCAGCCATTTCTACAAATTCTCGAAACTTTTGTTATTTTGCAGCTCTTGAAGTTAGCGCCTGCTCACTCGTCGCCGTTCCAGACATGGCGAGCCCACGGCCTCACACCGCGATGCTGTATGGGTGTGTGGGGTCCGTACGAATGTGTGTTGGGAGGGAAGCTCACTGGTGGAGCCTTCTATAGTCCGACATTCGGTAGCACCAAATATTTAGCAAGAAGAATCTCGAAAATGTCTATGTGCTTGTGAAAAGAAAGAGAAGTACGTGAAAGTATGACCCCGCCTGTGTGGCAGAGGTGAGCGACCGCTTCTGCTGCAGCTCTACAGCACCCCCCCTGGGAGAACGCTTGCATGGCCAAGCTTTACATTGCACGTTGCACTGTACAGCGCTGAGCCACGCATGCGTACAATGCAAAGCAGCGGGTGTTAGCGTCAGCGTAGCATCTTTTAGCGTGCACGTCGCTTATGCAAGTCCAGACTGCAGTGGTGTTCTCAGAACTGGTACTTCCCTTCCCTTTATTATTCCTTTAATTGTGGCTTTTAATGTGCAAAGCTTAAATGAAATACTTAAAAGAAGGAAACTCAATCAAAAGTACAAAACCAGGAGCAAAAAAATGCATTTATTTTACTGAAATAGGATTAAATACTTAGATTTTCAGTCTAATTTATTACGTGTATAATATGTAGAACTACACATTTAACCTGACTTAACTCTGAACATCTGGCTCTGTCATACAATGGCATTCGTCTCCTTTTTGACTTGATCTAACTAGACGTTTGCATAATAAACAAATTAGCTCGATATCCACATAAAAAGGTAACAACCTCAGGAAGATGTGGTGCAGC